CGTGCCGGCCAGGATCATGCTGTAGAGGCGGAAGAGGTTATCGTCCACATCTTCCTTGATGTCGACAAGGAGGTCTTTGTTTTTGAGGCGCTTGTACTCGACCTGGATAGCGCGGAGGTCGGCATTGGAACGACACAGAAGCACGTCGTTGAGAGCCTCCTCGTCGGTGCCGAGGCGGTTAAGGGCCTTGTCAAGGATGCGAGCGTCGTTCTCAAGAGGTCCTCGGAGGAGGGCGAGAAGTGTCGTCTCGAGATCGCCGCGCGTCTCGCTCTCAATGTCTTTTGCCAAGTCACGCACGAAGCGGGCGTTGTAGTCGCGGACGAGCTGCGCCATGGCCCACGGGTTGGCATATTTCGGGCTTGTGAAGACGCGAATGAGCGCCTTTTCGTCGCAACCCATGCCCTTCATGGCTTTGCGCAGGACCTCGCCGTCGCTCGCCGTGTCGACGGGGTGGACCCAGGTCTTTTGCGCCGGGTCGTAGCCGGGCGAGGCCGGTGTCGGGGCGACGGGTGCGCCGTAGGCTCCGTAGGGAGCTGCGCCGGGCGGGGGCTGGTTCTGGTTCCATTGCTGGGGCTGTCACGGGGGTCAGCAGGCAGTTATTAAGGGGTGTCCTGGAAGTATTGGAGTCTCACAGGAGCGCCATAGGGAGGCTGCTGGCCATATGGTTGTTGACCAGGAGGCGGCTGCTGACCATATTGCTGTTGGCCAGGGGGTGGTTGCTGGCCATAGGGGGGTTGTCCGGGCGGTGGCTGCTGACCGTACGGCTGCTGCCCTGGCGGGGGCTGTTGACCGTATGGCGGCTGGTTGTATTGCTGCTGCTGACCGTACTGCTGCTGACCAGGAGGAGGCTGTTGGCCATAGGGCGGCTGCTGCTGGTACTGGTTGTACCCAGGCTGGGGAGAGGGAGGCGCGCCGTATGGAGGTTGCTGCTGTGGTGGCTGTCCCGGTTGTTGCTGGGGAGGTTGGCCGTAGTTGTACTGGCCTTGCTGCTGCGGGGGATACTGCTGGCCAGGCTGCCCATGTTGCGGGGGGCCTCCGGGCGCTGGTGGGTAACCAGCCCCTGCTGGAGGTTGGCCTTGCTGGTAACCGTAGGGCTGCTGTTGATACGGAGGTTGCTGGTAACCACCTGGCTGCTGTTGTTGCCCGTATGGGGGCTGTTGCTGGTAGCCAGAAGGAGGGGCTGAACCCGGAGGGCCTGAGGGAGGGCCGCCCGGGTAAGCGGGCTGGCCACCGCCGTAGTAGGGTTGCTGGGAGCTCATGTCGATGGAAGAAGCTCAGGTGTGCGACAGCGATAGCGACGAGAATGATGATGATAAGATCCCACCAACGTCCCTCGCTCCCAACGCCATTCCTATATACCTAATCGTATCCAGATCGTATAGAGGCCTCCTCGCGGTTGGCTGCAATACGTGACGACACAGCCTCTTTGTTACCCCTCATCTCACCTGTCCATCACCGTTCGTGAGTGGCTTCTCCGACCGAGCCACCTGCAACGGGCTCACGCTTCGCCTGGAAAGGGCAGTCCGCCTGCGGGGGCTGAAGACCGTTGGCTGCAGGAACCCCTGTCGGTTGGGGAATCAAGCAATGGCAAGCATCGAGCTACAGGGATTCAAGGTTCGTCGTGCAGCACTTGGCGTCCATCACGGGGCGCTAGAAGAGGGATTGCTGGTGCCTGGCTTCAGGCTAAGCGGGGAGCTCTCTGGCTGTTGGTGGTGACATGCTTGAGGAGCGGGGATCTTCAATGAGGTGATTCCCAGAGCAGGGGGGGGATGCCTCCACGGCGAGAAATGAGGTTGGTCTTGGCGCAGGCCTCCAACAGAGATTGAGTCTACCACATGCAGCCCTACCAACCGCTTCTTCCGCAGGCAGAGAAGAACCATGGCGGGGTCCATCTCGACTTGAGGGTCTCCTCGTCCGAAGGCAGAAAATGACTCGGCTGCCTCCAGAATCGCATGTGAGAAGCAGTCACTTCGAGTGTGTTTTTTGTGCTGCTGACTCTCAAACAAGCAGAACGAGGCAGATGGATAGGGACAAATGACTGACGAGGTGGAAGGGTGCTCGTGAAATGTAACAGATGCCTGACCACAATTGGTCTGACCAGAATCTCTCCACGTTTGAAGAGAAATCTGCAGGTGGAGGCAGCACAGGAATCCCACATCAACTCTCCCCAACCACCAACCGTCAGCGAGTCAAGTCGCGGCCTCACTCGGAAATACATGCCGGCGACCGAACCACAACGCCCCTCGCGTCTCGTTATCATTCCCAATCCACCGCATGTCAGCTGCCACTCTGCGTTTCGTCTCTTCTCTCACAGTCTGCTTCGCAATCCACTGCTTCATCACTGCATTTGGGCGTTCAGTCTGATCGAGGGGCTCGGCGAACTGCCAAACGGGCTTGACAGCCCTGGGCATCGGCTCGACCTTCTGTCGGAGACAAGTTTCGCCCGAAGTCTCGGCTCCGTCAGGGGCGCACTAGGCGGTGGACACGCCCGGAAATCGGCAACATCGGCTCAGTTCGCCGCAACGGTTCAGTGGTCATCACGACCAGCGACCACAGACCGGACGGCGAAGCGGCAATGATGATGTACCAGAAGGAAGCTTTGACGATGGATGCATTGCTTCGAGTTCGGGGTTATGGTGGTTGCCTGACGGTGTTGCGCGGCCTTCTCACTGATGCCCAAGTCTGCCCTCCGCTGAAGTCGACCAGTCCAATACCCAGGTCAGTCCTCTGCGACAACCGCCAGTCCATCACATGCGGTCAAGCATTACTGACCGAAAGTTCAAGCTAGGGATTCAAAGCACCTGTTGAAGCATTCGATGCACTAGAAAGCAGGACCAAGCCCCGCAGAGGTTTCCAGCCCTCGACCAAACCTGACCACAACACATTGTTTTGCAACCTGCCCCCCGCCTTCGCGGCTCACGGCTCACGGCACACGATCAAACGGTCGCTGCCAGGAAATCCCCGACCTGTCTCAATCCGATCCTCAGACGATAATGGATGCGATGAACAAAATGTGATTCTGGCAGCGGCCGACAGTGCGGCATCGCCGCCTACAATATTCCCCCAGCGAATCATCCGAAGCCCTCGTTCAAGTTTCATCACAACGCGCGTTCTCCGCCACGATGCCCTCAAGCTGCCAGGGGCCCGTCGTATTGGGGGGCTCGAGCCGCATGGCGATCCACCGAGCGCAGATGCTTCGGCGCCGCCCGCCGTGATGGCCGCGCATCACCACCAGGATGGCGCTGATCTTCGCGGCATCACCGCCCGCTTGTGGATTATTCCTACCTGCGTAATCGTCCGAGGACACTCCACTTTGCGGGCGGGAGATGTCATGATTCGACGGAAAATGGTGTTTCGGTGCTAACCTCTGCTTTCTCAGAGGATGCGAGACCGTGATGATGCCCCTTGTCCACAGAGAGGGACCTTGTATGCTTCAACGACGTGCTGGAGGATCATATGAGGATCAAGTATAAATGCCCCCAAGTCCTCCGCCCTCAAAGTCTACTCTCTCGTCTTCAGTTCCATCTCACACCCCATCCTCCACCTCACCTCTTCTCTTTCCTCCTTTTCTTCTTTGGTATCGATTGATTCGAGCCCCTTTTTGACTACCAGCTTTTGTTCCATCCACTTCAAACCCAGATACCCAGCACTTCCACCACCCTCACCTTCATAATGTTCACCAAGTCTCTCCTCGCTGCGCTGGCCGCAACCACCCTCGTCTCTGCCCACGGCAAGGTGGCCATGGTGCAAGGCGATGCCGGCGGCAACGGAACCGCGCTCGCCATTCAGGGCGGCGTCGTTCCCGGTCCTGGCAGGAACCGCGTTGTAAGTCTCCATCCCCAGCATCATGAAAGACATTCTCGCTGACAAACACATCATAGACCGAGGTCGATACCACCGTCTTCAAGAGCACCGATATCATGACCGACGGCCTCGGCAAGACAACCGGCTCGGGCAAGAACGATGTCGCCATGATCGCTCAGGCTATGGACCTCTCCGGCAGCACCCTGCCCCAGGTCTCCGCCCAAGGCGGCTCCCTCTCCGGTACCTTCCACGTCGTCACCACCGATGGCGCTGGCCCCATCGAGGCCGTCGTCGACCCCACTGCCACCGGCCAGTTCTCCCAGGGCATCAAGCTCACCACCACCACCCAAGTCCCGGGCAACAACGGCAACATCAGGCCCAACGGCAAGGTTCCCCGTGACACCATATTCAGCCGCACCGTTGAGCGCGTGCGTCGCAGCCTGGGCATCGAGAAGCGTGCCTCCAACGTCAACCAGGACTTCGTGAGTTCTCCCTTGCCATTTGATTGCAATAAGCTCAGACTGACAAAATCTCAAAGCCCATGGCCTTCTCCGTCCCCGCCGGCACCACGTGCACTGGTACCGTCAACGGTGTCGAGAACGTGTGCCTCGCCAAGATTGCCAACAGCAACAAGGCCGGACCTTTCGGCGGCGTCGTGCCCTTCCAGATTGTCAACGGCGCCCCTGCGGCTCCTGCCGCCCCTGCTGCCCCCGCGTCGACTTCCGCTGTCCCTGCTGCTGCTGCTGCCGCCAAGAGCACCAAGGGGTCCAAGAACGCCAGGCGAGGCGTTGCTTTCAGGGCTTAAGGCACTGGAACCTGAATCATAGACCTGCCATGCCTATCCTCGAGGTGGGAGCTTCTAGGTCAAATCAATACAACCCTGTTCAATTAAACCAACTTATGCTACAAATGTGCTACTTCGTGCTTTTGCAAGTTCGTGTCAAATCAGACCTAAGTGGGTTGTTGAAGTCTATCGGCGCCGATGTCATGGATGTCCAAGTCGAACTGGAGATTACCCCAGTTGTCCAATCATCAGGTCTAAACTTCATATGGATGCTCCGATGTTTTGAGTACCAGGTAGGAAGGAGACCGAGAGCTGTGGTACAGGTTTACTTGAATGTTGGAAAGATGTCCTGTCCATTGAAATAAGACACAGTGTGAGTCATATACTGTTAAATTTCGCTCAGAACTCATCAGGCGAGATGGCCGAGTGGTCTAAGGCGCTAGTTTCAGGTTACTGAAATCCGACCCTTCGGGGATCATTACTAGTCTTCACAGGCGTGGGTTCGAATCCCACTCTCGTCAGCATTTCACTTTTGGCGGTGCCACCCCGACTTACCCTTTTTTTTTTCTCCCCCCTCCACTAAGGAGCCTCGCAGTACGAGCACTCCTCCACACCCTCCCTGACCTTGCGCTGAATATTTTGAATTACTTCCATTGGCTTGATTAGTCGGGCTTCCTACCAGAATTCGATCCGGTACAAAAATTATCCCATTTCCCCGCTTTGAGAGTATCACCAACCCGTGGACCTAAGCCAGGCAAGGGGTCAACTCTCAGCCCTAGGTATGCCTGTCCAAGAAACTGTTATACCTCTGGTGAAACTGTTTCGTTTCAGGGATGTCGAGGAGGAGTCCGGTGAAGCAGTGCGGCAAGCCCTTGTACACGAAGAATTCAACATCATTTCCTTCACCCGAAAGAGCCTCGGCGTATGCAAAAGCGTCGTCCCTGAGGATATCGGCACCGCCACATTGAATTACTGTTTCGAGTTAGAGTCAGACACATAGATGGTTCCATGTTTACTGACGAGTGGGAGGCAACCCTTCGAGCGACGGGGTGAGGAGCGGCGAGTGTCGGTGATCAGGGCCATGCTCTGCAATGTATGCATCGTAGAAAGCCTCCATCCAAAGGGTGCTGAGGACAGGGTTGTTGCTGTTTTGGATGTAGCTACCAAAGTCATACTTGTCCCTAGGGAAGTACTTGGGATGGCTTGTCGGAGGGAAGTGGAGGACCTGGGCGACGATGCCGGGGATGCCTTCGTCTCGGCACTGAATGGCGAGACATGCGGCCTGTGATTTCTCGTCAGTGAGAATGGGCAAATCAAATCTCAGACGACGTACCAAATTTGCGCCTGCGCTGCTTCCGCTCAGGATGATCTTCTCGGGGTCGATACCCAGAAAATCAGAGTTCTCTCGGCACTAGGAAAGTCAGTTCCCTGGTCAAAGGGGTATAAGGGTTCTACTTGCCCACATCAAGCCGTCGTAACTATCATTCGGGCCGTACGGGAAAGGGAATTCAGGGGCTCTTTGATACTGTTCAGTCAAAATCGGCCACGGACGGTGCCTCTCACTCACTCGCGATACTTGACGCTGACGACGACAATCCTGGGATTGGTGGCAGCGTGCACATTCTCCACCCCATCGACTTCATGACTCCCGACGCACCAGCCTGACCATTGTTAGTCGGCACCTTCAGCATGAATGATGGATTCCAGAACTCACCGCCGCCATGCATTCGGTACATAAGAGTGGCATTGGGCTCCACCTTTGGAGACTTGTAGACCTTGAGCTCAAGCTGGTGGCCGTCGCGGGCGTTGAAGTTGATCAACTCCGTCACAACATCCTTGTAGCGATCTGGGCCACCTGCGGGCATGGCGGCGTCAGGGTCTCCGGCGGCTTCGCGGAACGCGATAAAGTCTGGCAGAGCCCAGAGTGACGAGAATGCAGCACCTATTGGGGCTTCGATGGCAGCGAATGAGGGGTGTTTCTCGGAGAGGTGGCCATGCTTGGGAAGGGGAGTGAAGTCGGCGCCGAGGTCGACATATTCCGGGATCGGTTTGAGGAGGACCATGATTGGCGTGTAAAGTGATATTTCGGAATGGCTTCATGGGCTTCTGAGGTGCATGAGGGAGAAGAAATCTCGAGATGCTGAACTGTGGCTTCATCTTTTTATATCCGCCGTCGTATTATTCCGCGTATCTGTAGCCCCTGTTGGTACCATGGCAAGACGGCTTGCAACTGCAGCCACACTTCTTTCTTGCTATGACATATGATGACTGCATCTAGGCTCAAGCACCTCAATTGCGGGAGTGACTAAGTCCCGCTGCGAACCGACACGCGGGAGGAGGAGCTGATCCAGGGCCCAGGACATCACCATGGAGACTCGCCCTTGGTGTCATCTACCAGTACCGCCGACTGAGTCAAGAGAGTAGCACACAGCCACTGAAACGCTGCTTTTCAGGGCTTCGAAGGTCACAAGCTCCCACCAAAATGCCTTGGGGGAACTTGCGGCCACAGACCCGCTGTCGTGCATTGGTCGTCACCCCCAGAATTAGTGAGAATGAATCATCGCGACTTGGCCTTTCTGGGCGGAGGAATGGAGCCCTTGGCTGGGCAGTTGACCAACGAAACTGCCAGGAAGTTGAGATATCCCGTTGGGAATCCATCATGAGACATCTGCAATCCACGAATGCCTATGTCTTGGATCACAAACTTGAGCGACAATGAAGTCATTTTCCTTCTGGCGGTGAGAGGGCAAGTGCGGAAGGAGGTTTCCAGCAATTGCCCCAACCGCCAATCCGCTCTTGGCGTTTCGTGCTTTCTTCCACAGCTGCAGAAAAGGCGCTGCTTCCCACTCTGCTCACATGTAAACTTCCCACCTATCCTCACACCGCATGATTTTCTCCCCTCCATCACACGAACACCCCATACCTCCCTACAACCACGCCAGCCATGACGCAGCCAAAAGTCGGACCGAGGAACACCAAGTTCCCTATCCCCAAATCAGCTACTGGCCTCCGCGAGGTTCCGACATCACGACTCGACCTACGACCCGAGCAGGAAATCGTCGCCGAGCTCGGCACGTTCCGCCCCATCACTGGCGAAAAGAATGTCTGGGCTTTCTGGGACAAGGGCTTGGACGCTATGTACCCCAGCTACCGTTGCACTGTCATCAACTGGGTGCGCAAGCTCGGCCCTTCCTGGACCGTTCGACTGGTTGACCTGGTCCATGATTCTCTGAACAACGTTTACGAATACGTTGACAAAGACTGGTTCCCAGACTGCTTCAACGACAGGACCATGGATGGAGCACATGCCGCGCAGCACGCCGCCGACTTGGTCCGCCTACCCCTCCTCTTTCTGCATGGCGGTGTCTGGATGGACGTGGGCAACATGCTTCACACACACCTCGACGACCTATTCTGGGACCACCTGACTGCCCCGGACTCGCCGTATTCGTACGAGATAGGCCTGTGGATCATCAGCGGTCAGATCCGCAAGCAATGGGGCAGCTTCGGCAACTACATGATCGCCGCCCGTCGGGGGAGCCAGTTCATCCGAAACTGGCACGATGGCTACAAAGAGCTCTGGACGGGCCGTACCAATGCCGACGGCTTCCACAAACTGCCAATAATGAAAGACATCGGCCTCGCCGATGGCATGGGTGACTGGGAGTTTGCGGACAAGATCGTCCACATGAGCGACTACGTCGCTCAAATGCTCGTTGGAGACCGCACCAAGAACCTGGTCGACGTCCGTACGGGGTGGAACGGCCGTGACTACTTTGAGAACAAGGTTTTCCTCGTCGAGGGGATCCGCAACGGCATTCTTGGGGCCATCAACACGGCCTTTGACGGAAAGAGGCAGGTGGAACTGTTCACGACTCAGCTGGACGACCCGGATCTGGACAAGAGAGCGGCCGCGGAGAAGTTTGTGGTGGAGGTGCTGGAGCAGAGCCACATGTACAAGGTTTACCACAACTCGGCTGGAGGACTGCCGGCGCTCGGGGACCTGGTCAAAAAGAAAGAGTTCTGGGATGCCGATCACCGGCCAGGGACATTCGGGGAGCTCTACCGGTACGGGACGGTTCACTGGGCCTCGACGCGAGCTGTTGAACCGTTGACGCCAGAGCCAGCCACTGAGCAGATGATTCGGGCAACGCCGACAACACCGTCGACAATGTGGAGGTGAGCGTGACCAGCCTCACCAGGGGGAACTCCAGGCAGAAGTTTAGAGCACCCCACGTCTAGTCCTACCTTGGAATGGAAGATTGCAAAGGCAGCCCTGTGGAACCATGATAGCACTGTTTCCAAGGAACACTTCCATGCTTGTCAGTGCCCCCTGCCCCCCGGGTTTTGTGTTTGATCCACGATGCTTCTCCACGTCGAGTCATGGCGGAGGAGGGCCACCACACAAACCCAGGCAATCGCAAGCGCCCAACATCCCACGCACCCCTCATTGGCGGGAAGCCGAACAAGCAGGGCCCCTGTCGACAGGCCGCATGTCGGTCCGGGAGGTCGTATACGGCGGAGAAATAGGCAAATGAGCACTGCAAAGCGGCCAAGACGGGACCCCGAGTCAGGGGAGAGATATGATCGACAGGGATATTGACAGACCCGAATGAACGTGCCCTCGTCCCATCTCACGTCGCTACGAGTATTTTGCCGCGCTGAGCTAGACTTGCCAAGGGAGGTGGTCGGCACGTACCCAGCGGCCTTACCGCTGCCGGCATGTCCCCTGTCCTGGGGTGAGCAGTCTATCTGAGGCACACGGCAACCATCCCGATGGGACAACGGTGGCCTGTCATCCAAACCGCTTGCTACCATGCTTAGTTACTGAGAGTTTTATCACACCTCAGGCGCTACTCCGCAGGGCTGGCCTTTAGTTCTTAACGAAAGAGGGGAAGGACGGCGAAAGTTGCCCCAGAAGGTGGCTGACATGCACAGGGTCAGGAAGGGTTTCTCGTAAGTCTCGGTCAAGAAGTGAATTAATGGCGATGACAGTGGTATACCGTCTATGTGTACAAGTCGCCCGCAGCAAATGCCTTCATGTTGCGCCGTAGTCCCTCCGCTTTCTCCTCTCGTGTCGACCCCATGTACGTCTAGTTGGCCTCGGAACCCTGAGCACCACACTTCTTGTTGCAGTAGTAGTTCATCTGGGAGAGAAAAGCTTAGCATATCGACACCAGACGGGGCGAGCCATTGGTATGTCCTTACCTCGTCGCCACCAATGTGCCAGCCAGCAGAGTTGCAGCCAAGGCCGTCGAAGGTGCAGTCGGGGCACTTGTCCCACTGCTTGTTGCCAGTGTTGCGCTGCCTGTAGAGGTCGCAGGCGCACTTGGTGGCAGTAGGGTCGATCTCGTAGTTCTTGGCCCAGTTGTAGCTGACGCTCCAGCCAGTGCCTCCGATGGGGGTGCTGCGCCTGTTGTTGACACAGACGGCAACGTTGTGCAGGTCGGCGGTAACGCTGATGGATGTTAGATTTATGAAAGGCTGATATGAAGAGAGATGGAGAAGCTCACGTGGCAGC